CCCAGCATTAGGCCCTTCTCCAGGGAGTCCTTCCTTCTCATTAGGTGGCCAAAGTACTTGAGTTTCAACTTCAGGATCTGGCCTTCTAAAGAGCAGTCAGGGCTGATCTCCTCTAGGACTGACCAGTTTGGTTGCCTTGCAGTCCAGGGGACTCGCAGGAGTCTTCTCCAGCACCATAGTTCAAAGGCCTCAATTCTCTGGCGCTCAGCCTTTCTTATGGTCCAACTTTCACAGCCATACATTGCAACTGGGAAAACCATGGCCTTGACTATATGTACTATAGGTATAGTTAGGTTTTACTTATTATTAGACCACAGGAATAGTCATGGAAACATGGAACCTCTGATATAGGAATGTCATTTAGACATATATATTGCTTAAACAGTGCTTTGTAGCACTCTCTAAGAGTTACAGAGTCAGCATATTTTCCCCAACAATCTGGGTTCTCATTTTACTTGGGAAGACTGAGACAACCTTGAGTCGGTCAGGATCGAACTCCTGGCTGTGGGCAGAGTTTGCCTGTAATACTGCATTCTAACCACTGTGCCCCCACGGCTCATAGGGTATATGAGTATAGGGATATAAAGGAAAAGATAACAGCTTTCACTCTGTGGTCTGACAGTTCAGACAGGAAATTGTACATGACTCACAAATAGTCAATAGTAGTCAGAGTGTCATTTGGAAAGCACAATGGAAGAAGAAAAGGGAATGACATTACAAAAAATCCATTTTAGCTCTATGATTTATGGTCTCCTAGAGAAGAAGAATAAGGCTCTAGGAAGGCATGCTAGAGGAGGTATTGGAACAGCTCCTCTTGGTGCCCAAGTCAGAAATTGGCAGGAGGTAGTCTTTTTGATGTTCCTGAACTACATCTCCCAGCATTCCTCACTGTTGGCCATATGACTTGGGGAGGTTGATGGTTGAGGCTCAGCAATCTCTGGAGGGCCAAATTTCTCCCACTAGAACTGAGGAGAAATTTCCTGACTGTTAAAACAATTAATCAGTGGAACAACCTGCCTCCAGAAGTCGTGAATGCTCCAACACTGGAAGTTTTTAAGAAGAGACTGGACAACTATTTGTCTGAAATGGTATAGGGTTACCTGCATGAGCAGGGGGAGTGGACTAGATGACCTCTAAGGTCCCTTCCAACTCTGTGATTCTGCCATTCTACCAAGTTATAATACCTCCCATTGATGACCTAATGTCATATCAGCTCATGTCATCTAGGAGTGGAATGTGGTGGAAGAAGACTTGATCAACCCATAATAGTTAGCAAACATAATTTGTCCAATCCAGTGAGAGACCTCTTTCTCTCTCTCTCTCTCTCTCTCTCTCTCTCTCTCTCTCTCTCTCTCTCTCTGTGTGTGTGTGTGTGTATTTCAGCCATATTATCAAGAAGCATAAGTTTTATTATGGGATCTCTCTTGCCATTTTCTCCATTAACTAGAGAAGATAGTAGTGGATAAGGTGAATTCTTTCACGACAACTTCCTCTATTACAGCGGTTCTCAACCTATGGGTCGCGACCCCATTTGGGGTCGATCGACCACTTTTCGGGGGTCGCCAAAGGTGGCGATCCGCCATTTTGTCCCCTCCAGGGGCGGCGCCGCGCATGCACGCCGCGCATGGGGCGGTGCCACGCCTCTGGGGGGGCGCCGCACACGCGTGCCTCTGGGGGGCGGCGCCGCGCCGCGCATGCGCATAGCGTTTGTGTGACGGGGGTCGCCGTCACACAAACGTTGAGAAACGCTGCTCTATTAGAATTGGCCAAATAAAAAACAACAACACCCACCCACCCTTGAATCCTGAAAAAAATGTTATTGACGCAACCTAAGATGTCTCTACTATTCTATCTGATGCGGGTAATCCTTGACTTACAACATTTTATTTGATGACTGTTCGAAGTTACTACAATACTGAAAAAAAAGGTGACTTCTGACCGTTTTTCATATTTACAACCGTTGCGGCATTCCTCACACCCCATGGCCATATGGTCAAAATTTGGATGCTTGGCAATGGACTCATATTTATGATGGTGGCAGTGTCCGGGAATCATGTAATCACCTTTCATGACCTGTTGACAAACAAATACCAATGGGGGAGCCCGTTTCACTTAACAAACGTGTTACTAACTTAACAAATGCAGTGATTCCTTTAACAACTGTGGCAAGAAAGGTTGTCAAATGGGGCAAAACTCACTGAACAGGCGTCTCAGTTGGCACCAAAATGTTGGTCTCGGTTGTAGCCATAAAACCTCTAGTTAGGTTATAAAGACATGTTGCAAAATATTGTATGACTTGGCACTGAGCGATATGGAGACAAATAACATTCTACGCAGCACCGACAGGGAATGGAACATTTCCTATTCTCCATGTCCCAGATGGCATTTTATGCTTCTGTAATTCACACTGAGACGTGGTATCATGTTTGCAATTATTTAAATGTCAAAATCACCTTCCAAGAGTTGTTTTTGGTTCCCCCCCAACCCTATAAACCGATCGTGAATTAGTTGCTTTCACCCAATTGATACCCAGGATCCAGCTGAGAAATCCCTTGCTTTACCGTCTGAATTATTTATACATTATAAATGTTGTGTGTGTGTGTACAAAACAATTAAGAAGCATAAATAAAATAGACAGCCTTCTACAAAGGTTTGCAAACAGGGGGCTGTGTGTCGTGCTTGAATTGTGTTAAGGCCAAAAGACTTAAGAATCGGGGTTATCTCTCACCTCCAGAAGAACACGATAAGCAAAGGAAAGGCAATGGTATTCCAGAATGAAACACAACATTGGCGGGTTTGTTTTTTTTTACTAAGAAAACTGAATGGCACATCTGATGAGGTGGCCTCTTTCTTGACATCCTCTTGGTAGATTACAAAGCAAATGGAGCAGTTCCATAGTTGGATGCTCTCTTGAAAGCTGAGAGCAGATTGGCAAGGCTTCGCTGTCAGTGATAGATGGAAATATTTAGAGATAGGAAAACTCTACAAGGTGTAGCTCGGAGCTCTTGAGGCAATGAGGAGGTTGAAATGATTATTGAAATGAGACTGACATTGGCAAATGACTTGCAATGTTGCCAGTTTCTTGGGCCGCCTCAATCTCGTAATCCTCGGTTGCACTTTTTAATAAGACCCATCTCCTAGTGCTCTATTTTATTTGCTTGCAGTGCAAAGGGAAGGGTTTCTAATGCTATCAGATTGGAAAAGCAAAAGCGTTCGTTTCGGGTTTTAGGTTTTCAGCTGGAAATATCTGCTTGTGATTCAATTTAGCAAAGGTGACACATACGCACAGTGCTTTCTTTGTAAGAAAAAAGGTGGCTAAACTCATATCTTGTTAATCTTTTACACACACACACACACACACACACACACACACACACATATATATATGTAGGTCTTTGGTTATTTGGGTTTTCTCCCGCGTCAAATTGGAAGTGTCTTGGCGACGTTTCGACGAAGTCTCATTCGTCATCTTCAGGCTGGTGTTCTTGGCTTCGTGCTTCCAGGAAGCACGAAGCCAAGAACACCAGCCTGAAGATGACGAATGAGACTTCGTCGAAACGTCGCCAAGACACTTCCAATTTGACGCGGGAGAAAACCCAAATAACCAAAGACCTACATACAAACACCAGCGAAAACCTCAGAAAACAAATATATATATATATATATATATATATATATATATATATATATATATATATATATCCAGTTCTTAACATAAATTTAATTTATTGTATTTAAGGCAAATGTTCATAGTAAATTTTACTCTAAATTTTTTTTAAAAAAAGAGTTTAAATTCACCAACGAGTTTTTAAAATAAAGAAATGATTTACAGTACCTTTCGCACATAATCAATCACTGT